TGTGCTCTCAAGAGGCCTAGAGCCTTCTTAAGGCTTCAAACTGTTGGAAAACTTCCCTGGCAAATCTAGAGAAGAATTTATACAAAACTTGGTCAAAATTTGCTTTTACCCTGAGGCACCATTTCTCATTGTTGCTTTTTTTTTTTCCTTTTCTTTTAAAAGAAAGAAAAAAATAGCTCAGAGTTGAGAACTCGGGATTTGCCCAGATAAGGTAATGTAAACAAAATGCCTCATCCAGCTAGTGGTTTCTTCAGCCTTAATTTCCCTTTTCCCTACTCACTCCACCTCAGCCCCCCAGGATGTAGGCATACCCTTATCTTTTTTGTTCTGATATTTTTTTCGTTCTGCACAGTTCCTAGAGATAAGCAAAGCTAATAGAAATACGGATATTGAGTGCCCAGGTCTGTTGATGCAAGTTTTGGGGAAGTGTATGAGCTGCATAAAATGGATATTCCAACATTAATGGTTATTTAAAATGTATTCCTTTTTATTGGAATGGCAGATTTATAGAGGAGAGTCAGAGAAATCTCTTCCATCTGCTGGTTCACTCTCCAACTGACCACAATGGCCAGAGCTGAACCGATGTGAAGCGATGGAGTCAGGAGCTTCTTTCCAGATCTCCCATATGGGTACAGAATCCCAAAAAGTGGTCTAAAAGACTTTGGATCATGCTCTGCTGCTTTCTCAGGCCACAAATAAGGAGCTGTGTGGGAAGTGGAGCAGCTGGCATACAAACCAGCACCAACCTGGGATTCTGGTGTTCAAAGTGGGAGGATTAGCCAAATGAGCCACTGTGCTAGGCCCTATGGTGCACTTAACGAGTACATGGATGGATTTTACTTTTTCTCATTCTCTAGACTAGAACTCATTATTGTTCTTGCCTTTTATCAAGTCAACGTGTCAAGCTAGCTTTAAATTATCATTGTATTTTTCTTGGGTTTTTTGATGTTTATTAACAATAATATCTGCACACTTTTATGGGCTATGGTGCAAGGTTACAAATTCTTTGGAATTAAGAGTGTGCTAATTCAAACCTAACTACAGGAGCCTCCTGCTGTCAACTGCCAATGGCTTCTACTAAAATCCTGTTTCAGCCATTTTAGGGGAAAAGGTTGTGGAATAAGAGTGATTTCCCTTAAATTAAGTATATCCATAGATTCCCAGGTGGCTCACTGAAATGCTCAGTAAAATCTTGCTCAGGAAAACCTTTGCAATTTGGGAGGTTAGTGGCATTTCTCTTTTAGGAGGGATTCATAAATGATAAGAAAATGAATGGAGAAGCAAGCAGCCTCCAGGTGGTTCTGGGATCCCTGGGCAATTGTGTGTGTGTGTGTGTGTGTGTGTGTGTGTGTGTGTGTGTGTGTGTCTTATACCTCTTGAACCTAAAGTTTCAGACAATAAAAAAAAAAAGGACAATTGGAAAATAACTCAGAGGCCCAGCCAATCCTCAAACAGGAAACATTTTCCACCATCCTTACTTGACTGCACTTCATGAACCAGGAAGTCTATTACTGCTAACTCTAAAAGGCTTGTCCTTAAGACCTTAATGAAACCAAAAACTCTAGAAAATTGAACAGCCCTCACTACATAAAAGCTTGCTGTGATTTCTATAAAATTCCTTAATAAGATAATGGACACTCTAGATAATGAGGCTCCCAAAAACCTGCAAATCTTGGAATAAAAATCCCAAGGGCTGAGGAAGGGCTCATGAATCCCACAATGCCTCCTCCAAGGTGGACAGGAACTGGGAGTTCTGGATCTATCGCAGCCTGTCCTGGACTCCACTGAAGCTGGATCCATCCTCTCATTTTGTTACCGAGCTTTTCCATGCAGATCTCACGAGTGGTCCCACTTCCTCCAATACAGAGCTCTAGAACTCTCAGTTCAACAGAGAGTTCTTGAACACATATCTGAGTTCTAGGGACACAAAGATGAATAAGGCTCAGTGCATGCATTTAAACTGTTCACTAGCCAACGATAGAAGGAGATCGGGAGGTCAATAATTGCAATCCAGAAAGGTACATGTTATTAAGAAGGCAGAAACATAGTGCAATCTGAACACGTTCTGATATTTTGACACTGTGGAAATAGCTGTGGGGATGATTATTTGCTTTTGCTGATGGTTACTTTGTTATTGTGGGTTACGATCAGATTTATCTAAACTAGAGAAAAAGAAAGAACTGTAACTACATATTATAGGATATACATTAACTCATGTAAAACTTGTTGCAAAAGAAAAAATAGGTTTGAAAATTATGTTTGCCTTTAACTTATATAAAATATTTTTGTCCACTTAGCTCCCCAACTATAATGCAAGCTACTTGAGGGCAAAAAATGTTGCCCGCTTCATTCATTGCTGTCAGCAGAGTCCAGAATGGCAGAGCCAGCAAGTGTGTAACAAATATTTTTGAACTGATGAGAAAAGTAAATTCAGATAATTAAAAATTGTGATAAGCCCTGTGCAAGAAAATTACCTTATGTTAACTGAGGAAATAGGATATATCTGTTTGAAGAAAAGATGTTGGAACAGAGGTACAAGGGAGATATGAGCAGTTAGCCAAGACAAGAGTGTTACCTTTCAGACAAAACATAGCTCAGAGTTGGTGTGCAGAAGCCTTCAGGATTCTGACGTTATCTGGTTTTTAAGTGATTCACACACTCAGTTATGGCATGCGAGGGAGTCCTTTGGAAACAGTACTTTGTATGTCTTCCTTGTTTAAAAGATGTTCTCAGTCTTCCAGCTAGACCTAAACCTTTGGGCTTATAGCCACAGAAGCCAAGTTCACACCCAAGTTTCCCTCCTGATTCAGCCCATGTGTGGGATTCTGAGTAAATGGAGTTTTGTGCTTTGGGCCCTCCAAAAACTCCCTCTGTGATGGTTGGGCCCTCAGCTCAGGAGGCTCTTCATTCTTGGCTTGCCTGGCACGAGAAGGGTTTGCCATCTGGAGTCAGAAAAAAAGCTTGCCAGCCACTGAGCAGCTCAACCTAGGTCCTGGACAATGAGAGTCGGGCAATAGCCAATTCCTTGTCTGCAATTTGCTGATTATCACACCCCGGGGTGTGGGATTGTACAGCCAGGACCACTCTGCTCTGCCTCTCATCAAGGTAGAATGAACACAGATCCTGACAGGTCAAATCTTTCCCCAGACCTCAGAGGTTGCTGTACAAAGGACCTGGATGAATCTCTGGCCAAGTGTATAATTCGTTTATCTGCATGGTCATGAATTCTGGGCTCTCAGGGCAGGAAGCATGGGTCATTGTGAGTGGTTCCACAGGCCCAGGGAGTCACTGAAGCCCTGATTGTACTGTGGACAGAGGGATATTTGAGACAAAGACCCCTGTCCTCCAGAGATTGAGCAGATTGGAAGGGGAGCCTATGCACACAAAAGAATGGTGCTTTAGGGAGAGATCGGCAGCATTGTCATAAATGCCCGTGAACTACTCTAGATCGTGTAAGTGATGACAAGGGGGCTGGGATTATGTCATAGACTTTAACTAAGAAGAATTGAAATAGGTAAAGAGTTCATCTCAGGATGTTTGCCTGATGCACATCTGCCACTTTGCAGTGAAGGGAAGTTTTCAATGTCACAAGCCATTTTTTTTTTAACTTTTCTTCTCAGAAAGTTGTTGGGGGGGATGTTAATCTTGCCTCCCAGCCTCCCCTCAGCTAACACCCAAAAGTCTTGAAGTCAAAGGCAGTGCTCTGTAGAGAGCAAACACTTTAAAGCTAATTAGAAATTAAAAATGTACCATCGCCTGGATTGACCAGTTGGCTTTTCCCCTGATCCTTTAGACTTGCTGCTGTACAGAGATGGGAATAGGATGCCATTTTGTGCTCTTGGAGTTTAATTTGCACCCGAGGACTATAGAACCATTGCAATAAGTCTAGCTTCAAAATTAGAGTTATTTCGGTTTTGAGGTATTTCAACCTCCACATCTTTCATGTTGCTGTAATGTATATTGGACTTCGTAGTGGGAAACACTTTAGTCATAAATTGTAGTTTACACAGCTTCTGGCTCTTGGAAGGAAAGAGGTGGAAGGCAGATAACCCTGGAGAAGAATGGAAAGGATTGCAGTGCCTACTGTGGCTTCCAACAGACACCTTGCCTTGGTGTGTGGTTACAAAATATATATCCTGAGGGCCCATTTTTTCCCTCTTCCACCTATTTATTTTTGAGTGTAATGTCAAGGACATGAGGAAACCTCAGGCCCAGATCTCCGCAGTCAGTCAGGTTAGTGCCTACACTGACAAGCATCGCTCAGTACGATAAAGGTCTTTTCGTGCAACCATTATCTGAAACAGGATCATGCATTAAATACATTATTAGTCATTAATACTCTATCCCACAAGTGCATTTATCAAATTAGCCTTAACAGAAAATTGGGACCCCTGAGGAAATGTACTGAGGATACAAAGCTTTATGTGATGACTGGACAAGATTTTACTTGCTCAAGCTTTTTACCCTTTTGACTCCTCATTTTGAGATCATCAGCAAATACTAAAGACTCCGTATTTCGTGTGAGTTCATTCATGTTCCCACAATTGCCTTATAATTGGTAGAAACATCAAAAAACTATATCCCATTGCATTCCAAGAAGATTGTTGCTTTGCCTGCATTCAGCAAATCACTATTCAGTGTGAATTCCAACTCACGTCCTATACAGGGCACAGAAAATAGTTCTATAGTCTTCCCTTAAAGAATTTGCTTTTGTAGTTGCAGAAGATAAAGTCAATGAAGTATGTAATTCACATGTTTTAAGAGTTGTCTGCTTAGGTTCCACCTTAAGTACCCCATATAGAGAATTTCTGTAGTGGGACAGTGATAGAACAGTCAGCATAAGACTTTGATGGAGGTGGGATTTTCCCCAACTTACAGAGCAGAAGAAAGTGGACAGTGTGTGTAAATGTGAAACAATATCTACATGTGGGAGTGAGCCTACAATATAAGGGCACTTCAGGAAGTTCATAGGAATGGAATTAAAAGAGTAGTTTTGGCACATGGATGCTCAACTTTTCCATAAATTTAATTTCATGAACATGGAATGGTTCATGGACCCTCTGAATCCATTCTCAGAATGTCAGGTAAGTTGCATGAGACAGAGAGGCTTTTGAGTAGGTTGACTTGTAGACTTTAACCTTTTAGGAAGTCAAATCTGGTCATTGTGTACAAAATGAATTGACAACAGTGAGGGACAGAGAGGAAGCTAAAAATCAAAGTAGGGAGACACATTAGCAAGCCATTTCAAAACAATATGCCTAAAATGTAAATTTAATGACAACGGAAAACAAAAGGCAAATGTAGATGGCATTTCATTGGAAGCAAAGCATAACACATTGAGCAATAACAGGTAAAGTGAGGGAAGGAAATCAATGGCGACTCAAACTTCCAAGTGTGAGGCATTGGAGGAAGAGCAATGATTATTTGGAATTGTGGCCTGGGTCAGCTGATAGTCTGGTATCCCAACAGAAATGGTCTCTGAAGGCAATGAGGAATGTGAAGGTAAATTTTGGACACAGCAATCAATCAGACAGGATGTTGAATCAATCAGATAGGATGTTGAATCAATATTGGGGAACTATAAATCTAAATCACTACCTATTTTCTGTGTAAAGTTGCATTGGAACACAGCTGTACTTCTTTGCTCATATATTGTCTGTGATTCATTTAGTGTTGCAAAGGCAGAGTTGAGTAACTTTAACAGAAAGGGTGTGGGTCACAAGGTTTAAAATATTTGCCATCTCATCTTGAGTAGACAAGGTGTGCCCATGTCCATTCTACATCATTCCAGCAACCCTGTTTTTTGCTTAATATATGCACAGCTGATTTTTGTTGCTTGCATTCAGCAGTTTTAACCAATAGGTTATCTTATCCAACCCTTGCAACAAACCTCAGATGATGTAGGTACTGGCACACACATTGGTTGTCTACCCAGAACACATTGGTAGTATATGCTAATAATTGATACCCTTGAAATTCTGACTCAAGTGGATCTAACTCTACCATACATTAAAGAAATGTAGAAAATGGAAATGGAAAGAAAATGGAGCAGTTGGCAGTTCCAGGCCTCCTTTGAGATACCAGAGGAAAGACAATCATTTGCTCCAGTTGTTCAGAGGCACCCAAGTGATCAATGCCATGGAAACAGAGAGGAAAAGAACAGAGAGAGCAGCAGCTTGGATTTGACTTGTTTATCTCCCTCTTGGCTGCGTCTAAGCCATCCATTAAAATGTTGGTTTGTGCCTCTGTCAAAGGGTTACTCTGACCTCTCAATTCTTGGATCCTGTTACCAGCCATTTGCCTGCTGAGAAATTAGAATGCATTTGAGATGCCGCCCAGAACTACACAACACTGTGGAGCTCGAAGTCCTTCTGTTGGGTCACTGGGACCTGTTCTGGACCCAAATAGCAGTAGCTAAAGTACCACATTATTTCCTCTGCTAGCATGTGCACCTTTGGGGACAGCGTGTAAGACTTGCTCACTAATCCCACCTACATATTGCAATATTGAATCTGACTCTAGGGGGTTCATGTGCACATGATTACAAGAGCTTCTGTCACTAGCAACTTATGTCTTGATGTGGCTAGATCATATGATCACCTTCCCCTGTGGCCAAGCAGCAGTCTGGACCTTTCACTTGGCCAAATACAGTGACACTGGCCAATAAACTGCATCTTTGGTGGGGAAAAAGGGAGTTGTAGTTGAGAGGAGGCTCAGGCATAGGCAGCTTATAACATTACCCACTGAACCTGGAATTCCTTTTTGTGTGATTCCTGTAAATGCTAACAATAACATGGTGTTCCCTCTGTTCAGTGCACCATTTAATTGAGCTAATTAATGACAAAAAGCAACTCAACAGCCGCGCGCCTTCTGTTGTAAGCTTTAAAGGGAGGGAGGATCCAAATGCAGACTGATAAGGGAAGCTTCTCAGAGAAACGCATTTGGAATGTTATTGGGCTGATCTGTTCATGTGTGTGCATGCATGTATGTGTGTGTCATTTTGTTAAAAGAATTGACTTCTTTTAAGCTAACTGGGAATGTTTGTGAAAGAGGTGTTTCTGTGTTGTCAAATATACAGATGAAGTGTTTTCCTCTGTGATTTTATGCCTAGCAAGCTTCTTGCTCTACCAGTTAAAAAATAAAATACTTCTGCCAAGTTGTTGGTTGGGAGGGAATTGATGAGGGCCCTGTATTTTGTAGCACATGACTGGTTTTGTCCAGGAAGATTTTCTTTTTATTCTCTAGTAATGCAGACAGGGAACATTTGAATAATGTCTGAAGATAGAAACTTTGCTCTGTGGCTACTGGCTCTTTTAGGGTGAGTGCTCTCTTAGGGCTCTTTTTATTCTTTTGTGGAACTGGTTCTTTTTGGGGTGAGTGCCTGGAGCTGACTAATAAAAATGTGAAGCCGAGGAAGCTATTAGAAATTTACATTTTTATTTCTTGATTATCTGCATGTGGTGAAGCGGTTGTGGTTATGACAGTTGAACTGGTCTAAAGCTTGCTCACCTAAACTACCTGAGCAATCACATTCTCACTACCTAATCACCATACTTTGATCACGTTCAAATTAGTGGTGAATCCTTTTCCAAGTACATTATTATCAAAGATTTTCACTCAGCCTTCACAGCAATCCCAGTGAAAGTTTCATGATTAGGTTGTGATATGCAGAAGCATTTGGTTTGCAACTGTACATTTAAGCCAGACAAGTGCTTTGATGTGTATTTCCAGGTGCCCTGGATCTGGATTACGGGGAGATGTGGCATTATTGTTTAGCCCAAGGAAAAACAGAGACAATGCAAACTGAGTTCAGAGTGGCATGTTTTTGTGACCAGTGGCCAGCAGTACACAGTGGATGACTAACTAAGGACCTTAATTTATCTCCCCTAATCCTTTGATTTTTGCTGCAAAAGTCGTTCAGATTAAATCTGTTCTTTTCTGATCAAATTCATTGCTGATTCTGAACACCCGAAACCTGAAAATTTTGCCTGGAAATAAACCCTAAATAACATAATTACAGAAAAATGACTTGCTGGTTGTAATCTGGTTTGATACTTCTCCCATCATTCTCCTGTGTAGAAAGCAAAACATATGTTATTAGATATATGAACTGAGTTCATCTGGTACAGAATTTCCCAAATGATCACCCAAATAAGGGGATCATATGCCTTGTTTAAGTCTACAAACATAAAATATAAACCATAACATTATTGGCAGCCCTTTCTCTTGAATAGAACTAGAAGGAAAAAATGTGAGAGCCGTCATTTCATAACTGTCTGAAATTATCCCAGCTTTTGGGTAAGGCACTCATATCCTTGATGGATACCTCTAACTTGAGCAGAAGAAGGGCTTATAATTAATTTCTCATGTAGGCTGATGCTCCTCCAGGCATATTTGGTAGATTTTGGGTTCGCATAGGCCCATAAGGGATGCAACTTTTCTGTCACCTAAATCCAGCTACTGCTTTAGAACAGAAGTTTACAAACCTCGCCTGCACACTGTAACCACCCTGAGAGATTTTGCAAACTCCGGTGCCTGGACCACACTCTGTATTCTTAGCATGGACTACCATGGAAAAATACCATAAATTTGGTTAATTAAGCAATAGAAATGTATTTTCCCACCATATTGGAAGCCGGCAGTTTGAGATCAAGGTGTCAGCATAATTGGGTTCCAATGAAGCGTCTCTTGCTTATTAGCTTTATTCAACATCTCTCTTCTTGCTGTGTTATCTCATGGCAACAGAGGGTTCTGGGGTCTCTTCTGCTCCCTCCAGAGGCATGGATCAGGGCTCCATTCTTAGGAACTCGCAGAACTTCAGTCACACTATTAATGGTCGTAACTTCAAAGAGCCACACAGAGAGTTAAAGCTTTAATTGCGAATTCAGCATGAAGGGGATGGGGGGGGGTAGTGGGAATCAGTCTATAAAATACCCTTAACCAATTAACTAAATCAGATCACCTGGGAGTGGCACCCAGGATTAATTTATTTTAAAGATTATTTGTTACAGAGTTAGAGAGAAAAAGTCAGAAGGAGAGACAGAGAGATCTTCCATCCTGTGGCTCACTCTCAAAATGGCCATGATGGCCACAACGGCCAGCATAGCTTCATCTGGATCTCCCTTATGGGTGGCCCGGGACCCCAAGTGTTTAGCTCATCTTCCACAACTTTTTGCAGACCATTAGCAGGGAGCTGAATCAGAAGCATAGCAGCTGGTGTATGAACCAATGCTCACATGGGATGCTAGAATCACAGACAATGGCTTTACCAGTATACCACAATGCCAGCCAGGGTCAGCATTTTTAATCCTCTGTAAGATTCCAATGTGAAACTAAGTTGAGAGCTACTAGCTTGTACCCTCACTATTCCAGGTGCAATTAGCGGTATCAATAACACCTAAGAGACTGCTAGAACTCCAGAACCTTGGGTCTCAACAGTGGGGTCTCACCCCTTACCTGTTGAAACAGAATTTGTATTTTAATAGTTTCCCTAGGTGATTTGCATGCACAACACAGTTGGAGAAACACTGATGGACCCCATGTAACAGGTTGTCTACTCTAGAACTCCTCCTTTGTGTAGTCACATCTCACAATATGTGAGCTCTTTGCCTATTATAGGATTATTCCTAGTACCAGGTGCTTGGCTGTTCAGTCTTCCAACAGTTGCTTGACAGACAGATGAAGTGGTGTGCTAGTGAGATTGAAAGGGTCACCAGAGACATGTAGACTGAGTGATCAGTCACTCAAGCACCATGCATATTGCTGGATAACCACCCGACAGTGCTCCACACAACCAGTCTTAGGTCCTTTTCTGAAACAGAGGTGTAGTTCCCTAGCTCTTCCTGGTGATTTGTTTATTTTTGGGTTGTTTTTACAGAATTGTGTCTTCTCAAAACCATTTGCAGCTCTTGTTGAGGTTACAGATTTCACTCAAGTTTGTTCTCTCACTTATTTATCCCCACAGATTTGTTGATTAAGAGGATTTGCCATTAACCCAATCTACATGTCTTGAATGTATGAGTCACTCTTGGCTGTTTCCATGGTTTCCATATAAATCAGTCTTTCTGTCTGATCTTGTCATAAC